TTTTTGGGGGGGGGGGGGAGAGAGAGAGAGAGAGAGAGAGAGAGAGAGAGCACTCTGGTTTTGCTTGACAGAATGTAGAAGGTTTAATTTGAAAATAGAGGGAAGAATGAAGTGGCTTACACTCATTCGTTCTACTTAAATTACCTCTATGCCCCTTTTAAGTTAGATTTATTTTTCTATATTTTTTAACAATAAAGGAAATGTTCGCTAATTTCTGAGGGTTTTTTATACTTTGTTCACCGAAATATTTAAAATTTCTCATTTTTGTATTTTTAAAGATTAAATTTATCATATTGCACTGTCAATGTATCAAAAGTGCTACAATGTAACCCTTCTGTTAATTTTCGTTATTTTTTTGGTCAAAAGTTAACTCATTGACACTGACGAAAAAATTAATAGAAAGCTAACAGAAAAGTTTGATACATTGAGAGGTGTAATGTAAAAAATTAATCTTTAACGGTATAAAGTGAAATTTTAAAATCTTTCAAAGTACAAAGTACGATTCATCCAATTTTTGAACTAAAAATCATCATTATATATGTAAGAAGAGTAATACTACACCATTCAAATAAAACCAATAAATTTGCAACCCAAATAAAGCCAACAAATTTACAATCCAAATACATATGATCTCTTAGATGAGTGGATCTCATCAACTTTTTCAGTGGAACTCACTCATCCAAATGATAATATGTATTTTGGTTGTAATTTTTAAATTTTGTTTGAATTGTATAACATTTTCCATGTAAGAAAGTTCAACATTTCAATTTTATTTATGGATAGTTTTTTAGGGTTATCTTAAGAGTGTTGGGATGATTATGTGATTTGGGAAAGTTTCCAAGGAAAATGGAATATATCACCGTTTATATCTACTTTTATAAATAATAGTGTTATAGGATGATAGAAAGCGGTAAAAAAAAAAAATCAATAGTATACACAGTTTCTCAAATTTGAGAATTTCATCGTTAATTTTTGTTTAATGTGTACTTAAACATGCATGAAAGCTATGTTGATAGTATCAAAAGGTAGCATATGCCAGCAATTCAAGGCTGGATCAAAAAAAAATAATTGTCACTGCACACAAATTACATGCAGAGCTGAGCAAATTAAGAAGGTACTTGACGACTCAGGGACGAATCTATTAATGGGCTATGATAGGCTGAAGTCCAGAGTAAAAAAAAAATATATTATTTTCATTCAAAACTTTCAGTACCAATCCACTAAATTACTAATTATTAACCCAATTTTTCAAAGCCCTTAAGGCTTAAGCCCCGGTACCAATAATCATAGAAAGCAAAAAATTTTCAGGATTTTCTATTCCTATTTTGATCGGAACAAAGAGGAGATTACCTGGGGGAGGAGGGACAGTTGGGCCAAGGTGGGCAAGTACCCCCCTCAAATTTTTTTTTTATTTATTAGTAGGGTATATGTATTATATATTTATATATTATATTATTTGTGCCTCTTTCATTTATATTAGACTCACATTATTTACCCAAAAAAAATTAAAAAATTTAACTCATTTAAAACAAAAAAATTTGAGCCAAATATTATCTACCCAAACTTATTAACATCTACCCAAATCTATTACAAAATTTTTTGGCCCAACAGTAAAAAACAAAATTTTTGGGCCACAATTAAAAAACAAAATTTTTGGACCAAAATTAAAAATAAAATTTTTGGGCCACATAATATATTAAAAAACATTTGTATTTTGTTAGTCGTATAAATGCTTAGCTTAGCTCGGAATAAACAAAAATCCTGGCTCTACCCTTGTGACTACTGCTGATCCAAAATTGTCGAAAATAGGTAGATTTCAACTCAAGAAGTAGTTGGATTACTAGAATCTTGAAGTAAATAGAATTAAACAGGTGAGATTCATCATTCTTGCCACTCTCATATCATGAGGATATGTTATGAAAATCGACCAATCCAGTCTAAACCAATTGGTCGTAACGTTGCTTCTGTGCAGATAGCAGCCGAAACAAGGAGGACAGGAACTCAACTACGATACACAGATAATGTGAAACAAAGTCCACAAAAAATCCAATTTCGATATGATCTCGAGCGGCTATGACTAGGATGAAAAAACTATCAGCCAACACATACTGCACAAGCATTTTAGCAAGCATCAGCTGAAATTGATGCTAGTAACAGATGTTTGTGATTCTTGACCAATTTTCCCTGCACAAAACAAACATATACATATACATTATCAACCTTTTTAGTAGCAGAAAAGAATACGTATTATCAGTGGAAAAGCAAGGGCATTAACACAAGAAATTTGATAACACAGGCACATTTGAAAGTAAATCACTTGGTTCAACGAAGAATACGAAAATATTAGGAGGTAAGAGCCTAAGAGGGCACTTAGTTGTGAAGTAAGATTGAATATCCATGACAATCAACATTAAGGCTCAGCCATTCAGCAGCTCTAACAGGTAGGTCATGACACAAAGTCCAGCGGCTGAGGTTATTTTGCAAATTAGTGAGAAGTCTTTAAGGAGGAACGGTTGTGTATATGTACTTTGGACGATTGCTAGATTACAAAGACTCACTCAATCACACACACATACACACGCGGAGAGACCACTTTATGCCTTAACTTATGATAGTCACTGAAAATGATTGTTGCATTTCTATTTCTGTCCCTCACATTATTCTGGTGGCAACTATATTGGCAAACCACATGACTCTGTCCAAGTCTGAGAAACTAAAATCGAGTTGTATCCCTTCAATAAGTACTAACTTGTTTAATTTTATGTGGCATTCAAACACCCCATAAATGAACATTTACAATCGGAAGGGTGTAAGTAAGTAAAACATTTACCAACAACCAAAAACACAACAAAGTAATTCAGCTTCAAAAGAACTCTCTTGGCTTTCACCAGTCCCATTGCGATTCTCGGTCACATCAAAATCTCAATGAAAGTGGAGCAATGCCATCTAGATTATCCTTCATAAACCATTTGTGAGGATGGGAACACGACGATTCCACATGAAGATGCCAAACCATGATCCTCGAACAATCCTGTGGAAGGCCTTCCATTTGGCTCTCATCCTCTACAAGTTGTTCAATAAAGGTGCTGACCTGCAAAGCAAATTAATAGAGTTAATTGTTGATAAAAAAAGGTGGTCATTGCCTAGTCTGGTCCCTGCTAATCTAGGGTGCTAGAAGGGTACAACGGATATAGACCTAACATTTAACATTATTTGAAAAAAGTGGTTACTTACTGATTCATACCCATAACCTTGGTCAATTAGAGGTATATTTACAAAATTCGTTAAAGCCTTTATCCTCATTTTTTTATTTTTTCTTTTATTATTTATTTCACTATTCATTTACTTTCAGATGGGGTGCAGTTGGAGGGAAGCTCCTCATTAGCTCCATTTGCCTCCAGTTGTATTGTATGGAAGGTTCAGGTCTCAAATCAGTATAAGAAAGAATTGTACTATAAAGTCAACTACCACGGTGTTGTGGTAAAAAAGACAAAAGCATCCGCACATGCCCTCATGTGTTTCATTATCTTTGTTGTAAAGATAATAAGAAAGGAAGGAAAAACTAACTTGGAAGCCTGCCTTGACTGTATCAAGTTGCCTGATAGGTTCAAGAGTAGGTCGGTGCCATCTCTTTGGATCCCAAAGTATACTGCTATTGAATGCAAACCCAGACATTTCGGCATGGAATCTCTTGAATCTTCTTGTCAAATCATCCGTGTGCCATCCAATAACTTGAGAACCATTACAGATCGGACCCTCCAAAATAGTTTTGCTTTGGCTCTCCAACATTTTGGCGACTGTCCATGTCCCAAGCCGTCTGCAAGCCAAAAAGTTTGCTGTCAAGAAAAGGCTCACATGAATGGAGGCAACTGAGTGGGCAGAAAGGAAGATTAGTTGTCTTATTTTTCTCAAAAACCTAGACAGCTAAAATGCATAACTACTAAACGCCAATAATGAAGAAAAAAAAAAGAACAAATATACCACTGGAAGAAATTAAAGATTGGGATACAAGGAATGAGAAAAAAATGAGTCAAGCAGTTATTTGAAAGGGATTTCAGTGACTCTACATGCTGCAAAGATGACATTATGTACCATATCATTCCTTGATAACAATGGAAAATGGACAAACCCAAAACTGAAATCCTAGATAATAGTAGAATACTTTGCTCCTTACTTTTCTCGGTCTTTTCTTCGCATATCAATATCTATATCATAAAATAGAGAGCGTGTTTTGAATTCCAAAACTTATATGAAGTTTTTTGCGGCTCGGATCAATTCTGAGTAAAAAAAGGTTAAATCCAATGGATGATTTTATCTCGAGCTTTTTGTGTCTCAGATCACTTCAAAATTATTGATCCGATGCATCAAATTCACTCTCAAAAAAATTTTCCAGCCCAAATAGTTTCCATTTTTTATTCCCCAGTAACGCATTTGACTTCCCCAATCACACCCTAATTGTCTCCCCCTCCCTGTTTTTCTATTTCCCCCATCTCCCTCTCTTTCAAATTTCGGTGTCTACTGAATTTGTTGTTGATATATGGAATTGGGATTGCCCAAAGGAAGGGTAATGGCCATGGAGTCTCTATTAACCAATAATTTCACAAATTTGGTTTTTTTATTCTATTCCCTTCTACCCTAACACCCTCCGCCACTCTCTCCCTAAATGCCATAGGAAGTTGAATGGTTATTGTACTTAGAAATGGTTAAAAAAAAACCAAAAGCAAGCCTTTTTTTTTTGTCAAAGTAGAGCATAGTTGCAGCACCTCAAGCAATTCAGTTGTCTAACTGCTGCATTTATTATCCAATTCACTATGTTGATCATCTGATGCAGGTAGCTGCCAGTTATGAAAGAGCTACTGATTTGAGTCTGAGTTGTTGAACAAGGGTAAGGGGTAGGGTGCTAGAACATTGTTGATATTTTTTTTTTTGTTCATCTCTACAATTACTGTGTTTAATCTCTATCCTCCCAAGGATGTATAGCGAGCTGCTATGATGTGTACTGATGAGAGTTTTTGTGAACTCGCAGAAACCACTTGGAAACATTTTGAATAGAGTTTTGGTTGGAAAAGATAACATTGATTGGAGCATTCCAAATGCAAATTGAACTTCCTTTCATACGGACGTTTTCTTGGCTAAATTTTTGTCAGTACTTAACTTCCGTGTGTTACAGGTTGTTTTAGCAGCTTCTTTTCGTCAACATGAAATTGGATTTATTCAAATAAATTCCAAATTACATAGATTTAACGATTGTACATGGTATAATACCATATTCATGAGAAAAAAAGATTGAAAACAAAACGAAATATGGGTTCTACGTTTGATTATTTATATGGCAAGGTATTTGGGTGTCGGTATATATAAACAATTCTCAGATTTGGACATTCTATATTATGTGCGATTAATAGTAACTTTCGAAAATGTCATTTTATTGTACTTCATGCACTTTTGACAGGCATAATGTTTAATTGGGTATTTACTCTCATTTGACACATGCAATGCACAAGATACGTAATATGGTGCTTTTAGGCATGGGCATTTGCTTAGTATACAAATATTACACATCACCAAAAGACACCAGAAAGATGGTGCTTTTAGGCATGGGCATTTGCTTAGTATACAAATATTACACATCACCAAAAGACGCCAGAAAGACGATCTAATTTTAAATCATTTTTTGGGTAAAATATCAAACCAACATAAGATTAGGTTACAGATCTTTTGTAAGCCTCATACAGGTGGATGTAATCAATCACCAGTCATTTTTTCGCTGTAAAGAAGAGCTACAAGTCCACAAATGATAAGAAGGATGACTTGTGAGGTTAGAGCAGGTAGTCACTTACAGAAAAAGTCAGCGAGAATAAACTATGTGAGTTAGAGTGGATATTAGCATTACAGAAATGCAGAAAAAACCTAAGCATGAGGAACTTGGGGTGTCCCTAAACTGTTGAGAAATACTCTTCCTAGGGTTTCAGGAACATTCCCACCGAGAAATATTACACTTCCTGAGCATTTATTATAGTGGGGGCTGGGAGGTATTGCAAATCTACGGAGTTCAGAAGCTCGTTTCCCACCTACAACAACAGGTCCCTAACATTATGATATACTATTCCTTAAATACACCTATGTGAGAACAGAAAAGCTGCAAGTTTGATTTAGATACTCATTCTAAGATTTACCATTATCATAGAAAAAGCTTAATTCTAACAATATTTACTCGCAGAAAGTATCAGCCATATGATAAAGTATGTAAAATTGATGAAAATACATAATTTGAATCACTCCAGGTATATAGTAATAAAGCAAATTAGGCTTACACATGAGATTCAATCATTCCAATCATTTTTCACATCTTTCATGGCATAAATCCTTGCCCAGAATAGAGTCATTGCTGACAGTATAGCCATCCTATAACGATATAACGGGTAAGAAAAATGCTAAAATCACTCCAGTCCAATGAAAATACATGTGTTCAGCGGCTCAGCCAAATAAAAAGCAGTGATCCATAGTCATCAGGCAATGAATTAGCGAATGGTCCTGTTTTGCACATGCCCAAAAAAGAAAAGGAAACACCCACTTCATATTTTGTCGCTATCATGTTCACCATACCTCAATTCATCACACCGAAGGAATCAGGATTTTTATTCACAATTTATTGAAATAAAAAAATAGATTTCACTACCAAAAGATAAAGATACAAGGAAATGCATGTAGAATACTAAGCAATTAATTTAGAAGGCGACATACCATATCAAATGACTTGAGATTTCATTTCACAATTCATTAAATATAAAGAATAAAAAGTTAATTGAGACCATAAAAGTCCATGCAAGATATGTAGCCATTAATTTATAAGTGTAAGTACCTGATCTGCCTTATCTGTTCGAAGAGATCAGCAGAATAAATATTATCATCATCTGCAAAGTAAATGATTCCATCAAGCCGGTGTGTTTCAATGTGGGACAGTGCCACATTTCTTTGGTGCACGCCTCTATCAATCATGTCAGTTAAGTTCTCATTGCACACAAGATGCCTGTACATGACACCAGTTCTTCGCAATATGTCAGCTGTTTCCATGGACTGAGACGTCATCTCCACAACTATCCACAACAAAGGGGGAGGTACCAATTTTAAGGTGCGCGCCAAACGGTTCAAATAATAGGTTTGAAAGGACCGGGGATATGTTGGGGTGACAATGATCAGAAGCTTATGAAACTCCATAGTTGGATCTTGTCTGAGTGATTGGTCAAGAAGTGTATAATTAGAAATCTCACTTCGTACTTCTCCGCTTATCACACCTAATGTAGCATTATCCTTTATGGTCGATCTGTCCACTGATGGTGCCATATTTCTTGTCACAGCATCATGGAAGTGAACTTTTTCAGCTGTAGGGAAAACCTCAAAGGAGATGATTTGGTGTTTGGACACCAGATTGATGGATAAGTGCATTGAAACAAGTGGAGCAAACCCAACAAAAACCCCAACCACAAAACATGTGAAGAAATGGAAAAGAACCCTCATCCAAACGTGCCCATTTAACTTTGGCCTTTCCAAGGACCGAGAAGATCGTGTTGAGAAAACACCAAGAACAAAAGCTTGAGCTCTATACAATACATAGGCCAGTGAACCAAAATAACACATCAAACCTCCTGCTGGTGGATAGTTCTGGTTACAGGAAGAAGACTTGGACAAGGGTGAAGGAACCGAACAGGCTTCCCCATTTAGTGAAGTTCCAGGTCGAGGTACCGGAGACAATGTTCTTCTTATCGAAGCCATCAAAACAAATTTAGAGCAATTTTATCTTCCCGAATTTTAAAATGATTATCTTATATCACATTCCCACAAGTGACATTCAAAACTATCGCCTAATTTCTTTTCAATTACAGCAATGCAAACTAAAATCTGGTCGTACATATACTCTCGTTACTCATAAGTTCTTAGTGAAGAGTTGCACAAAAGGTGTAGAAAACCCATACAACTAGGAACCCAAAGGGATAAGGTAGCAAGTTCTCTTGAATAAATTATCTCCAACTCAAAAAGCACCCAAAACCATGAAAAATTAGAGCCAAATCAAACAATGGAACAATTATATGGCCCCTTAAGTTGCAGCTGTCATAAACCACAATGACAAATACAAACCTCTTCAATTCCAATTCATTGTTGGTTCATTCTTATCATACCCCAACAAATCTGTAATCCAGCTCTAACCCAAACCAGCATTCAAAAATATTGACTTTCCCCTGCTTTCTTCTAACATGCACACATTGAATATGAACCTTTTGAAACTTCAATCAAAATGACCTTTTTACAACAATCTTTAACAATCTCATTACATTCTGCACAAGTGTGATGACGTTCTTGATCCACACTTAAGAAACAGTACTTTTTAACGAATCAAAGCAATCTTAAAGAGGCCACCAACAAGAATTCATCAACTAAATCTAAAAAAAACACACAAAATCCATCTTATCCACTAAACAAATGCCAAAACATAAGGTAGACCTCCAAAAATTGCAGATTTCGAGCGCCAAAATTGAAAGTTCGCACAGAGAAGATATGGGGTTACCACATTTTGTCGAATAAGTTATGGGTCTTGGATCTGCAGAACCAAATCGTATACAAGAGAGATCACTAGCAATCTCACTTCGTTTCAGCTACGTAAAGGCTTTTTGGCGCTTTCAGGCGAAACTTTTCCTATACCTTTGTGTCAAATGGAGACTCAGTTTGAGCGGGTAGTGCTCCGAATCTCAGTGACTGTTGAGAGGGAGACAAGAACAGATAAAAGGGTGTGTATGTGCCACAAAACACACACCCAATCATAGAGAAGAACAGAGTCTACGTTTTTTCGCTGCTGTGGACTATATATATAGTACAAAAACAGTGGCAGAAAAAATTGGGAGAATCGCACTTTTACCCCCCAAAAATTTCAGAATTTGTATTTTATACTCTAGAATATTAAATTTTTTATATTAATTTTTTTTTGTACTAAAAATATTATAATATAACCTTTTTCTCGTTACTCGGTCTATCAAAATAATATTCCATTTCCTTGTTAATAAGATTAAACAACCACATTGATATTGACAAAATGAACAACATAAGTTAATTAAAAAATAATATTATAATATTTTTAATATATTATAATTTTAATATAAAAAATTTAATATTTGAGAATATAAAATGAGAATATTTAAAATTTTTAATATGCAAAATACAATCCTCCCAAAAAAATATGTTGTGCATACATATAATATATATATATATATATATATATATAGAGAGAGAGAGAGAGAGAGAGAGAGAGAGAGAGAGAGAGAGAGGATTGACCACTGATGGACAATTGGATTGGGGTGGGGTACTAGGCTAATGATAGTGAATTGACCTACTTTTTTTTTCGGTCATTATTTTTATTGTAAAGAATCAAAGACATGCTTAACCAATTCTCCTAATTTAGTTCAACACTTTCATTTTTTGTTGGCATTCTAAATAAGTTCTTATCAAATATGGAGCTTGATTTTATTATGTTTTTTTTTTTCTGTAGTATTTTATTGTGAATTTTATGCTTTATCATTTTGTGGGTATTTTTATGCATTTTTCAAAAATCATAATAATTTATTTTTTATTATTTGGAAAAATACCACTTATCAAAAGGAGTTTCTTAAAATTCCATCTCGTTTGTTTGTATAGAATTAGCTTGAACTACTTTAGTTACAATTATTAAGAGTGCTCGAATAAATTAATATTTTTTTACCTCGTTAGCTCAAAATATAATTATTTCCAAAATATAAAATGATTTCCTAAACTGTTGATTAATGATCAATTGTTAACCAACACATTACATCTTTTAATATGTAGTACTCTATACTTCAACTTTATTATTAGATAGTGTTTTTGGATGATTGAATTAATGTCCTCCATGATAGATATTTAACAATACTATCACTCGGTAATTAGTGAATCATAAGAATTTTCCTTGGGAGTAAAAGTTATTTAATAGAAGACACACATTTCCATATATATATATATATATATAACTCACTCCAATTACTTTCGGATTATGGATTCTAACATAAAAAGCGACCACTTTGTGCAAATGACACCAAATATAAGGTCTATATGTGATATACCGCGCCTTTATTTGTTGCTCATTTATTTCATTAATGGGGATTAAACTGGATTTTATGTTTTTATGCACGCGTATCNTAAAAAGCGACCACTTTGTGCAAATGACACCAAATATAAGGTCTATATGTGATATATCGCGCCTTATTTGTTGCTCATTTATTTCATTAATGGGGATTAAACTGAATTTTTTTGTTTTTATGCACGCGTACCATATGAGAATTATTTGAAATGGTAATTTACTAACAATGGAGAACGCGATTAAAAATCTTCTTATCTATAGCTACCATACTTCATTAATAAAGATTAAACTGGGTTTTGTTTTTCAATGCATACATATCATATGAGAATCATTTGAAATAGTAATTTTATTTGCAATTAAGAGGGAGATTGAAAGTTTTCTAATCAATCCATTCGGGAGTAATTCATGCATTTTAATGGAAGTAGTCTATCATCCTTGTAAGTAATTGTGAATGGTATAATTTTAGGTGAAAAATATATTAGTCCATAATTCTTTAATGTTTTAACATTATTAACTATAAGATTGTTGATTTATGTACAAAATCTCCCAATTTGTGTAAAAACTCCCATGTTTTTTTTTTGCCTCGTACTAATAAAGAAATTTAATAAATTTTGTCTAAAACTATTTCTTTAATTAAGAGCATAAATTTTCTCACAAATTCTTTGAAATTAGAGCTACCAAATCATCACGTGCAATCTAATAAAGTTTGTTTAGCTATGGGAATTTGATTACTTGAAAACTCGTTGCCAAATTGTTATTAGTCATTTCACCATTTGACAAGTTTTTTTTCTTCAAGATTTCAAGTAAAATATCAATGAAGAAAACTGANGAATTTGATTACTTGAAAACTCGTTGCCAAATTGTTATTAGTCATTTCACCATTTGACAAGTTTTTTTTCTTCAAGATTTCAAATAAAATATCAATGAAGAAAACTGAAAAACCTAAGAGCAAGTTTATTCTATCCCTAAATTACCTATTTATTCTCTCCATAATTTTTTATAAAGGGTTAATATCAATAAAATCAAGGGAAAATTATATTCAGACACCTTGAGATTTGTTACTTACTCATTCAGATTTCTTGACATTTAAAAAATTATATACAAACCCCTAAAATTTGTATGCGTGAAACAGGTAGACACTGTCATGAATGTCTAGGATATTCATTAGTAAATTACATTCAGACCCTCTAAAATTTATAAGTGTATAATATTTAGATCTCTCAAGTTTAAAATGTTATACTTAAACCACAAAAACTCCAATCAAAGATAGAATATCAAATATTTTAAATTTTACAATCAAAAGTCATGTTCTATTATATCATTTATTGAAATAAAATAAAAAATAACAATCTAATTTTTTTCTTAAAAAATTACAATTAGTATACAATTATACTATCTATTAAAATAAAATTAAAAAATAAACAATTGGTCAAACTATAATGGATACAATATCTTGTATCTTTAATTGGGATAATTTAGTAGTTTAATTTGGTCCTTTAAATGACCAAATTAAATTCAAATAGATAGTATAATACTAATTATGATTTTTTTAAGAAAAAAATAGATTTTTATTTTTGATTCTATTTCAATAAATGTCATAACAGAACATAAATTTTGGTTACAAAATTTAAAATATTTAATATTCTATATTTAATTGAAATATTTCTGGTTTAAGTATAACATTTTAAAATTAAAGAATATAAGTATTACACACTTATACACTTAAGAGGATCTGAGTATAATTTACTAGTAGATCCTTACACTACAAGAAAAAAGAGTTTTTATGGCTGTAAAGTACTATCATAAAAAGTCTATTTGCCGTCATAAATGTTTTTTTGTGGCGGCATTGTCTTTTTTCATAATAAGTGTGGTCTCAAAAGGTTTTTATGGCAGCAACGCTCTGTCTTAAATAGTATTTACGGCGGCAAGATCCTGTCATAAATAAGTTGTTACAAAAAATTCGACACACTTTTGTTTTTATCACGACAGCAAAAGTACAATTTTTTTTATAATTATTATAGACCGTTCATACACTCCATACAAATTTTTTTTGGTGGGGGAGGGGGGAAGGGGACTTGAACCCTTGACTTCAAGAAGACAAAACTTTCATAATGTAAGAAATATCATTAGACCAAAGACTCATTTGTATTCATATAATTACCCAGTTTAATATATAGATAAACACAAAAATAAATATAATCAACATTTCTAAAAATATAGCAATATTTTTATATCAAAAAAAAAAAAACAATCTCACTAGTTAAACAAAATGTAAAATATGCACTTTTATAAAACATAACTATCTATGAGTACAAGAAATTAATGCAAAAAGTTGAATATTCTTTCCGAACCATCTACTCTCTCAATAACATTTGAAAAAAATATAAAATTATTATTACAATACTAAAATAATATTTATATACATATATACAATAAAGAACTAAAAGAGGTTAAAATATACATCAACAGAGGGCTACACAATATTTTTCTAAACGACTTGTCCAATTATGTAAATGGTATATAAACGAGTCACATCGTATACATTTCTTCTAACTGGTTTCACCAATACCTGATTCGTTTATAATCGTATTATGACGAATCCACTCATTTACTAAACAGGTGGCTTAAAAAA